CACCTGGAAAATTTCTGGTAACAATGAATTAAATTTAAAGTCACTCCCTGAGACACACCAATATCAGTGGAAATGGATACTCAAGTAAAACTCAGACTATAACTTCCTAATAAATGTGTAAGAGTTATTAGCTGAGAGGTTCTAAGCAAATACTTAATTGTGTTTGGTTCCTATGATCGCAGCAGTCAGCTCTTTTAGCCCCATCAATTATAGCTCTTGAAACAGGCACACAATTTTTAAGCCTTTTAGCTTTACATAGCAAGCAAATTCCATTTTATATTGTACCTCACTGTACAAAAAACTTAGTTAAGTACAGGTTAAATCATGTTCCTATTGTACACAGTGATATGTATGGTAATTTTTACTTCTATGACCCATAATACCTTGAAGACATTTGTATTCGTTTACTCAACAAATATTTATAGAAAACCTAATGAATGCAAGCAAGGATGTTGTAATCCTTGTTCCTGGCATCCCCTATTCTTTTTATTTTTATATAAATATTTTGAGTAAAATATTATATTTAGGGTCTCTTTAGCAAATAAAAGTTATGCCAATCAATTTGACTTCAAGATTTCCTCCTCATAATAGAAGTCTTTGATATTACTGTTCTTCTAACATACACTTTTGCCTAACTGTTAATTTTTCCTGCTAAAACCTTTTGCCTAGTCCTGTAATGGCATACATAAGGACACAGGAACAGTCAATGGTGCAAGTCCTACAGAACAAAAAAGGAAAAGAAACAAGGAAATGGATGAGAATGATTCAGAAGTGGCATTCACACTTCTTGACACAGACTCCTTTTTGAAAACAAAAGGCTCATGACGTACAAAGAGGACATTACAGTTGCTAGATTGTCACTTACCCAATAGGAACATAAGTGGTAAGTGGCAGATTATTTTTCATTTGGAAACCCTACCTGGCAGAAATTCTACCTTTACATTGGATAAATCAAAAGAAGGGACGTCACTACAGTCCAATAAATACACATTTTAACAAATTGGAGAGGTGGGGGTGAGGAACACAGTTTCTCAGAACTACTGTGTCCTGATTTCAAGGAGAAATTGTATTTGTTTACGATTTTATCTGCAATTAGCTAACAAAAGGGGTAGAAAACATTATTAACCCTCATATTAACAAAGTAGTCAATTAATACCACCTTGTAAATATATACCTTCATTTTTCCAAAGAAAAATGATAAATAGTATGATAGAAAACAAAACAGTAGAATCTCTGATTATTAGGTAGATGCAATTTGGTAGAGTAATATGATTAACATATCAGACACCATGATACAGTATTGTCAAAGTAGTTACCTTGAAAGGACAATTCCAATACTATCAACATTTCTTAGAATTTCTGTTAGAAAGACCTTGAGAGCCTGTGAAAGTTATTTTTAAATGTTAAGTTTACTACCTTAATTCAATAATGTTCCATGTACTCTGCAAGGTACAAGGTATAAAGAGTAGTAGTCTTGGCCCTTAAAATGCTTACAGTCTAGAGAAGGGTATGATTGTGTGCACAGAAAATTTCATTACACAGAGATAAGTGCCAGGACAGAAGTAAGTACGGGACTTGAGGAACTAAAAGAGCACAGTGAGGGGCTGCCCTTCTGTGCCAGGAAGGGGGGAGAAGGAGGGGATGAGAGAAGGAGAAGAGGGAGGGACACACTTGTCTTCCTCCACTAGAGAGTTAACACTTCTGAGAGCAAAAATCATGTCAACTATCTTTGCACTGCTGCCACAATACCCAAGCAGAGTAATCTGCAACAGGGCGAGCATTTAACAAATGCTGGTTTAGGGAGAAAATGTCTCATTACTTAATAATCATGCTGTGCTCAGTGAAATTCACCATAAGGCAGGTTTGCCTTGAAACATATCCAAGAGCATGTAGCTACTGCCGTACTGAAACAATCTCTCCAAGCAGTCCTGAGGTCAGCATTACACGGAGGCTCGAGGTTCTGAGGTATAAGAGCAATAACATAAGCCCAGCTTATGCCCAGCAATAGCCCAATGACTATTTAAATTACTATATGTTAAAAATAGTAAGGTATGTAAAACATTTACATTCTTACTCATTACACAGAAGAGTAATTACTCCAAGAGTTGATCTAGTCTATCATCTAAACAAACTATTGCCACCCCATCAGGTAACTTTGAAGCCATCATTTAAGAGTCTAGATGGTAATCACCATGTTCATTCCTATCGAGTTCAGTATAATAGTTACCCAACAGTATGTGTACTTGTAAAGATGGTAGCTGTCATGAACCCAGGATAATCCTGGACAGAAGCATTCAGCTTATTGAATTTAGACAGCAAGCTTCTTTATTACGGGTAATGATAGAAAAAAGATATTGAGCACGAAAACCAGGTTTGGACATGGTTGGCTGATTAGGCCATGGAGTGGGTAGAAAAGAAAACAAAAATTTCTAATTGCTTATCTTAATAGTCACACATAAAAGATAATGTGTGTCATCTTGCTATGATGCTTTGCAATAATAATTTAGAAAATAGGAGTCTATTAAAAGTTGCAAAAGATGGTATAGGCAATTAGTGACTGGCAGAAATAATATTCAAAAAAGTGGAATAATAGTTAAGTGGAAAAGGAAAAATGAAATTCTCTATAAATCCAGGTTACCGTGCTCCCTTGCAGTGAAGAGGCAGTCTCTCCATGATGCCCTTAATAACCACATACATTTCAAGACTCAACCATATCCAGCACCAGGAAGCAATAAGGATGAACAAAGCAGAAAGGACACAAATAAAAAATAAAAGCTCTGTAGACTAGAACTTTGTTGTCCAATAAGGTAGCCAAATGTGATTATTTAAACTAAAATTAACTAAAATTTTAAAAAATCAGTTACCCAATGTACTAGCCATATTTCAAGCACTCTATACCCATGGTGGTTACTGTATTAGTACAAACATAGAACACTTCCATCATTTTTTTATTGAAGAGAGCTGAACTAGAAAGTAAACACTCCTATCGCTCAGATAGGCCTGATGAGAACCTCAGAATAAAAACCAATAGTTTTATTCATCAAGCATTATTAGAGATACCCAGGGTTGTTTATTTGCTTATTTTATTGAATGTGTCATAAATTAGAGATATTTGGGACATATAGGATTTTCTCCCCTAGTCTTTTTTTTTTTTTTTTTTGGTGTGAACAGGGATAAAAAGGGGAGGGGATCAGAAACTCCTTGATTTAAGTTTCTCTTATCTAATAAGCCACATAAATTGCCCAAAACAGATTTCTATAAGCACCTACCCTCTTCCCCTTCCTTTTATTATTATTTTTTTCTGGCTGGCTGGTAACAGGGTCGAACCTTGGACTTTGGTGTTATTAACGCCACACTCTAACTAAGTAAACCTACCAGTCAGCCTCACCTTCCTTTTAAATAAAATACTAAAAGACAGCTAGGGAAAAAAACAAACCAGGAGGTAGAAAGAGAAATTCAAGAAAATTACTAAGAACAAAATCGATGGCTATCCTCACAAATCAGGAATATATCCAAAAATATACTGTGAAAACAATTCAACAAATTCACATTAATTTTAAAAGTTACCAGCTCCTCAGAGGCCAAATATCTTGCTACTGACAATTTAAAGTATTAAGTTTTCATCAAGAGCAACACACTGTGATTCAACTATCTAATTCATGGACAAATAGAATCACATCAGCCACCTTCTATTCACAGCATCATTAGATTTCTGAGGTCGTTTGTTCCTCCAATAGAAGCCATGTCTGATAGTAAATAAAAATCAACTACAGTAGTAAGATTCTACTTATTAGAACTTCCCTGTATACAGTCTTTTTATTTAAAAACCAAATAAAAATATACTTTTGGATTTAAAGCAGATGGTTTCTATTACATTTAATAAAAGCAAACTAAGATTCATTTAGGAACCAAGAAAAAGAAAGCCAGTAGTCCTCAGACATCGGATTCTATTAAACATTCATTCTATGGCTGCTTAAATATTTGCTTGCTACTCTGCTACCACAAAGGAAAATTTGATATCTCAGGGACAGAATAATTTGAATGCAAGCTAAAATTTAATCGGCACGTAAAAACAATAAAACTGATAGCCCATCTGCTTAAGAGAACAGCTTATATATTCGGGGGAAGAGGGTTGAAAGAATTAGGATGCTGAAAAACTTAAAATGCAAGCCTTAAATCCCTTTTTCAAAAATGCATGATGTTGCCCCCTCTGACTGATAATTACAGCCCTGGGAGGGAGGCTTTGAGACAATACTGAAGATGATGCCGTACACAGAGACTCAAGGAGCAGGCAAGGGGCTGCTACATCTCATCATTACAAAAGACCACAGGCAGACTTCTCTTTTCTGTACCCAACACGTTTCATCCTCTACAAATGCTCAGTAGCAGAGTTATCAGAAGTTATAAAACCCCATGGTCCCCTCCTTGGCCCCTAGCTTTGTCCTCTATAGTCACCCTCAATGTTTGTTTTCCTCCTTTTTGCTCTCAGTGTTTCAGGATAGAAAAGGATGTTATGTCTTGACCCTCTCTCTGCCCATGGAAAGGCTGTACTCTTATGTCACTTTACCTACCTTATCCCTTTTAAGGAGAAACTCACTTCATTAAAGTAAGCAAAAATGATCTAATGCACCTAAGCAAGGTGGGGAGATATTCTTTTAATTCTTGAAAACTCAGATCTACTCCTCCTCATGAGGACAGAGTCATCGGTCACTATTTGACTGAGCCTGTGAAAATTAAAGATCTCTGGGCCGGGAAAGTAACTTAGGTCAAAAAAAAAAAAAAGTAGCTTACCCCAAATCTACCAAATCTGCAAAAATTGCTCCCCGTTTCTTGCATCCACAGCCCTACAGAGTGTGTAAACACCACCAGCAAACTGTGCTAGGAAGTCACAAAACTCCCTACAGCATGCACTACGAGCATAGTTTATAAAATGTGCTATAGGCAGTGTGGAAATCAGGGGCTGGATCCGGCTCTGACCAAAGGGCAGAGCTAATGCATACCTTTCGGTCTTCCGGAATTTCCATTCTTTTGCTGTTCATCTTCCTCATTAATGGTGAATAAACCAAGGGGAATTGGCCTTGCATTGGTCTTCTTCTGTCTCTCTTGTCGGATAGCTGTAGCTGATCCAGGCATACTGCTGCTACTTGTTTTTTAATTATTATTATATTAAAAATATATGCTTATGTAATTGCAGCTCCCAGGAAGCTGCTAGTTTCTAAGCTGCCAGTTCATTTGAGCACTTGTAATAGATCCCCTATGGGTAAACAGTGTGCAAACAGCTGACAGATACTACCAGCCGCTTGGCAACTGAGGCCCCGCAGTTCCCCCTCACCTAGCAGCAGCCCCCCCACTCTACCTCCCCTACCAGCCCCCTCCCACTCAGTCCCCCACAGGCACATGTGCTGGCTAGTGCGCGCGCGCACACACACACACACACACCCCTTCCAGAAAAGACTTATTAAAGGCATGCGGGCTCAGATGCTTCCCTCCACTGCCTAACCTGTTCAATCAGATCCCAGCTTCTCCTTCCCGCTGTGGCACCTTTCCTCAATCTTCTCCCTGCTCCGCACAGTAAAATGTTCAGCACATAGCAGAGAGGGGCAAGTATGATACGCTGTCCTTAACAGTTGCCCTGACAACCCTGACATCTCCTAATCGGGAGCGGCTCCATCTCCCGGGCGGCGGCTGAGAAGCGGCAGCCTGCGGGATGCTGGCTCCTTCTGGGAACTCACCAGCAGAGGGTTACAGCAGCCAGGCAGCTCCCTCTTCCTCTCAGCCGCACAGCAGCGGACTGCGAGGAGAAACGGTGTTCTGCTTGCACAAGCAGCAGCGGACTCCTCAGTATGAAGACAGCAGCCTGAAGGCAGGAAGGCTTTTCTTTTCTGGGGCAGGTTGTCTATCACAGCAATGTTTGCAAGCTTCTGGATGAACGAAGGCATGGCTGGTACCCTCCACAGCTGGCTCACCTTCCTGACATTCTTACCACCCCAGAGCCTGCATAAACACAGGTTTGGCAGCACCTGTCACGAGGACCTGCAGTGCCATGTCCCTGAGACTCTCCAGTGAAGGCAGGCAAGGGGAGAACCGGGCCTATTTCCACCCCAGAGATCACAATGTGGAGCACCCCCTCTGCAAGTCAAGTTGAAAGGACAGAAATGAGAAAGAAGAATACTCCAAAGGGGATAAAACAGCCTCAATTATATGCTGCATGCTCCCCCAATCTCCACTGCTCTGGGCAATCACTAATAGTGGCGCTGAGCAATTCTCAGCACTTGACCCAATTTTTGTTCTTTTTGGACTGTTTTCTCCAAAGCACACGATCATGTGATTGTTGTTTTCTCATGAAATAAGCTTTCTTACTTTAAAGTTCTCCATTTCTATGCTGCTTAAAATTTAGCTGTATACAAAAAAAAATTTACAATAAATGACATTTAAAAATGCCAACAGTCAAATTAAGAAAAAAAAATCTGCTGTTTTTGTTTCTTCCTTTTAATCAAAACATCCCCAGACACTCCCTTACTTTTTGTCAGTACTTAAACCTAATTATACCAGAGGGGACCTCAGGGATTCTAAGGCAAGTAAAACACCCTTTCTAAATCCTTTTTGTGAAACAGTAACTTTGGATAATTCACTGAACTCCTCTTGCTTCCTCAGTTTTCTCTGTAAAATTGGGGTGATGACATCATTTACTTTATGAGATTAGCGAGGATTAAATGTGTAGAGTTAGCAGTAAAAAGTGCTTAATAAATATCAACTGTTGTTACAACAAATGTATTATAAAATATAATTAATCCATTTTTTGCTTTGTAATTACCTTCAAGATGTTTCCAGTTCAACTATCAACTGCATGAAGGAATACTTCTATGTTTTTACCTACTCATACTACCCAGTTGGTGCTGGGGAGGTATTAGGCTGGGGGATTTAATTAAGTTAAGATGTGTTTAGATCTGTGGCTTGGAGAAATGCAGGAAATTTCAGGTATAGAGTTTATTTAAAATCATATTAATCTGTGCGATACATTTTTGGAATAAAATAGAATGGAGTTTTAGAGCTGAATAGGTCTGAGAAAGCAACTGAATCAGCATCATTTTACGTGCAAGGAAACTGAGGCCCATGAAGTAAAATTCCTTGCTCAGGTGAAACGTTAGTTGGTAGCAAGTCTGTAATTAAAATTTAGGCCACCTCTTCCTAGTCCAGCACTTCTCCTTATGACAAATGTTTGGCCTATGTATTTCAGAATCCTACAACCTCTCCAACTTCTGTGGAGATGGAAGGAAAGGGAGGAGGAATGCCTCTGATACTGAAGATCTTGCTGTTTAAGAAACAGTGGATACAAACTGTAAATTTAATGTACTTCCATAATTTCCAAAAAGGCTTTTTTTTTTTAGAGTATGTATAATTTAATGTTAAAACCATTTACTGGGGGAAATGAAAGCCTAATCAAAGCAGACCAAAAATCACCACCATCATATATCAATGAGGCAGTGTGGGATAAAGTAAAAGAACAGAATGATATCCCATCAATTGGGTTCAACTTTATGTCAGCCCTGTGCTGGGTGTATCAAGTAAGGTACTTTTGTCAGTCACGACAGCCCTGAGAGGAGTTATCACCACCTGACAGACCAGGAAACTGAGGTTCAGGGAGGTTAAAGTCAAATAGCTAGTTAGCTCACTGAGTCAGGATTAAACCCAGGCCCATTTGCTCAAAAGTCAAGATGCTTTTGTCCTGCTGCCTTGTAAATCCTGACTCCAACATCAACTAGCTGGTCCCAGGCACAGCTGTGATCAGTCCCGGGGAAGCAAACAGCCCAAGAGCAAATGATGATAAAGGATTTTTTTTTTTCCTACCCACGAAGTACACATTTTTCACCTCATTTAAGATATAAATACATTTGAGACTAGTCTCCTAAACACTCAAACCCAATCTTTAAGGGATATAGGGGTTGGCTCTTATACAATTCCAGGAATACTGTGGCTTGATCCCTGTAGCTGTGTGGAGCTACCATCTTCCTCTAATTTCCTTTTCCTTTTACACTTAGATCCAAAACAAAGGCAAGTGTGGAAAGGGGAATGGTGAGACCTTAAGTTTAAGTATCCCCCAAAGTAAAATGACTACTACTCTGAATTCCTGAACTCTCCCCAGCACTAATAAGCATTTTCAACTGGATGTGGCACAAAAGTCCTTGCATGTCACCTGCAGATATAGAATCTTAGTTCAGGGCCGGCCCGGTGGCGCACTGGATAGTGCGCCGCTTGGGAAGCGCGGCAGCGCTCCCGCCCGAGGGTTCGGATCCCACATGCAGACCGGTTCCCGCTCACTGGCTGAGCGAGGCGCGGGAGCAACACCAAGAGTTGCGATCCCGTTGCCGGTCCCCGGTCCAGTATGGGGGCAACACCGAGGGTTGCGATCCCGTTGCCGGTCCCCGGTCCGGTACGGGGGCAACACTGAGGGTTGCGATCCGTTGCCGGACACGGAAAAAGACAAAAGACGAAAAAAAAAAAAAAAAAAGAATCTTAGTTCAGTTCCCATAGGAAATGGGGCATGTAGAACTCCAATACCAGCAAGGTCTTACAGTTGCTTTGTCTCAATTGATAAAATAGTAAATAGTGTACTAATGGAAACTCTGTACAAACTTGGAGAGAATTGAGAGTCTGCCTAGTGCAGAAGAGTAGATTTTTACAACTAGACTGGCTTTATACTGAGAAAAAAACGTTTGCAGTACAATCATACAATGTACTCACATTCATAGGTAAAAATGGTACCACTCAGCTACTATAAACAAAACAGTCCAATAGGCCTTTGAGCAACTGCTGTCCCCACCCCCTTAGTCCACAATGAATTTATGTCTCTTTGTCCTCCTACCCTGGCTGAATGGCATCTCTGGCCTAGATCCAATCCATGAGATGGGTGAATACAGAACAAATTTGCTGATCTTTAGGGGAAGTAACCTCATGACTTAACAGTATGGTATTAAAAGATCACACATGTAGGCATACATACAGGCTTCTGTTCACATTTATGCTTCCCAGGCTTTTATTCTGTGACCAAAACATTGAAAAATTGCATAGCTCATAATGAATCCAAGAAATCTGCTTAATCAGTGAGAAACGCACCTAAAATTTTCCTTTCTATAAGCCTGATGAGCTTTACAAAAACATTATTGAAAGGGAAAAGAGCCTGATTTGTACTATTCAAGGAATATAGCTGAAAACAGAAATTATTACTGCTGGATTGAATGGCAAATCACTGGTTAATTACAAGTTCTATGTGAATGTATGAGTTATTTTCTTTGCAGGGGGGTCCAGAAGTGCCAAAATTCTTTTCCACATTTCTACATTAGAGGAGATGATTAATTCTTTAACAAGACTGGACTTCAGTAATGTTTTAAGTACTTAATGCATCTCTCCAAAGTAAGCTGCATTACTTCTGGCAGTAGTTTAAGAAATATTTTAATGCAACTTATAAACCTCATATGGTTTAAAAATGACAAAGCCAGAACAGGGTGACACGGACTCAAACAACCCCTAAGGAACAATGGTTCCCAGCTGGTTCTTTGCCATTCCCATTCTTGAAGTTAAAGGGCTCCCTCACAGTTTCCCAGAATGATGCCACTTACTGATGGCTTCTGTGGCAACAAAGGTACAACATTCTGCCATCTTGCAGAATTATGCATAGCTTCCAAGAGGCTGCTGGATAAAGAAATACTGCACAAAGAAACACTGACCCTTTGAAAGGAAAATAAAAAAGCAGGTTTGCTTTGATCTTCTTTATTTGACCACCTTTTGTTAACAGGCATATAACAAAAACAGTAAACACTACCCTAGTAGTGGCAATGCCATCTGCCAAGAAGTACTAGGTCTCTGCCGTGCCTTTTATAACATTTCTATAAATCTTCACTGCATATTGAACACTTCACGGTGCCAAGAGTCCATTTTCCCATGTCTGCTCTACTATAACAAAATCTTAAACCCTAGAGATTCATTTATATGAATGCAAGGTGTGGTTATTAAGCTTTCTTTTAAACCCTTTCCTAAACATTAGGTATTAATAGGTAAGTTGTGAATACTACAAAATGCCACATTAAACTTTAACCCAGTCTAACCTGTTAGAATGCATCTCGGCCCTCTTGTTCACTATTCTCATTGATGATACTTTATTAACGGACATTACATGAACTTCTGGATTCCCTGATAAAAGTTTATATGTGCATAGAAGTTCCTCTCCTCTAATGGTGTTACCTTTGTGAACCTAGAAATCTTATTTCATAGATTCCG